ATATTTCTTGGAAGGAACGGTAGTTTTAACTATATATACATTTTATAAATGTTTAATAGTCTAAAAAGCTTTGTCTTCAAAGACAAAGCCGCTTAAATGACTATATGAAATATAATTAATTATTAATAATATGAATGATATTACTGTGAATGTGATTGAAATGCATATTTGAGGCATTCACCGCCACGCCCCGTTCAAATGAGTTTTCCCCATGGTTTTTCCACAACATCCTCCTCAAAAATCCCTTTCTGAGTGCCAAGAAACCTTCTATTACCATTTGTTGTCTCACTAAGCACCCTAAAATCATCAGCAATGGACTGAATAGTGCGAATGTCGCTGCTTTCAGGCACCACTGACTTGTTGCGCACTTGTTATTTCCCTAGGCTTCCTTCAGTGACTGCATGCGTCGCTTTGAAATGTTTGCTTTTTGTGTCATATCCTCGGATTTCTCTTTAATCAAGGGAGAAACGATTTTGAGAGGTTCGCTTGCTTAAGAGTTTGGCTTGAAAGGACTGGGATGTCAAAGTCGCGGTATGAAAACATACTTAAAGCCGGGTGAAACTCTGTGGCAGGTGAGAGAGAGAGAGAGAGAGACAGACGGGAATTCCAGACAGCGTTTCTCCAGCTCGCGCTTGAATGCAGAAATAAGTGAAGGATTTGAACATGATCTCAGCGCAGCACTTGAGAAGCTGCCGGGCCCCTGCGCTATGTGTTCAAATACTTTACAGTGTTCTCATACTGTGGACCAAAGAAATGGACGGACTCTCCGATTTCTCAAGTGAGTCAATAATGTGATTTACAGTAAGTGCAAATATTATGGTTGCAGTATTCACTAACAATAATGAGAACAATCATTTAAACAGTATTTTAAAAAAGTATATTCATTTTTTGATACATAAACTTACATGTATGGGTCAGTGACACATTTTTGGATTCATGATGGTCTGATAGGCTAACTTTTTTCACAATAATCATTTTAATTGAATGGCTCTAAAAATATCATATAAAAACATCCATATCATTTATTTAAATAATTGACACATGTTTAATAACTTATTATAGATCCAACCTCTCCACCTTTTCGTTAGATTATCTGTTTAGGATCATCAACAGTCAATCAGCTCAAGCCTGTGATGGAGATCTCATGCTCCTCAGGTGTCCACGACACTCCACCATAACTATTCAGTCTGCATTTTATGGACAGAGTGCAACCCTTCCCGGGATCATGCCAGGAATGAGATGCCAATGGCGTAATCACAGCTGTTCTGCTACCACAGCGCTGCAGGTGAATAGTCTGTGCTTTGCTTTCAGACAAAAAAAACAGACCTTTCATTTTACATGCACTAAACACTAACTTAATAAAGCTTTTTTAGTTCCTTTTCAATAGTCCCATGGTGAAAACAGACCTAAGATGTTGTAAGACAAGACTCCTCTGGCAGCCAATCTTATTCACTTCCGGCTCATAAAAGATAGGCTATGTGTTTTCCAGAATCAGGACAAGGCTACTACATTTTCCCTGCCTTTTGTATAACGCACATTCTATGGTTTTTGATTATCTCTCTCTGTTAGAAAGTGCTCTCTGAATGCCAGGGTCATAGAAATTGCCAGTTTCTGGTTAATCATCAAGTCTTTGGCAGAGATCCTTGTCCTGGAACCCCTAAATACCTCCATGTATCATACAGGTGTAAACCTAGTAAGTATTTCCTCCTTTAAAGCTTGAATTGATTATTTCTTCTTCAATTATTTACTCCTGTAGAGCAGTAAAGATGTTTGTCTTACAGCAGAGCACAAGAAGAGAATAACATGCGAGGGAGATCGACTTTTGCTGCACTGCAAGTATCCAAAAGTGCTGAATATCTACTCTGCTGTTTATGGAAGACAGCTGGAAGATGAAGACTTGTGCCCATCAGAGAAACAAGAACCTCCACCATTTGGTATGTTTTTGGATTTAGTAAGATAGTAAGATTTACATTTATTATTATATAAAATTAGGCTTTGCAGTTAGATAATTTGCTGTTAAATGAGTAAAAAAAAAAAGAGTCTAATTTAAGTGGACATTTGAATATGTTTGAATCTATTGTAATATATTATAAAATTCTGTTTTAATTTTGAGCACATTTAGTTTAGTTTTGTAGTTTGGTACTTGATAATGAGACATTTAAAAAAAAAAAATCTCTTTAATATTACAGAATGTCTTTTTCACGGAGCCGTTGATGTGGTATCCAACATTTGCTATGGAAAACAGAGGTGTTCGTTTACTGTAGATGAGGAACATTTCAAAAACCCCTGCCCTCCTGGAACAAAAAAGTATATCACTGTCCTCTATGCATGCGGTATGAATGCTCTCATTTCCATCAAAATCTTCCCAAAGCAAAATCTGTTTGAATGTGTTTTTTAACTGTCTTGAATTGTGTTGAGTACAGTTACAGTATGGCGTGCCATCTTCACGGCAAGGCAGACCTTTAATCAGTTTGAGAGATCTTAAATCATTGATTGAGAGTGTGGGAAAAGACTAACACGTGGCCTTTGTCTCATCTCAGATTGTTGATTTACCCATCTGTTTTCTTCCCGTCTCATAAATTACAATGGATACAAAAGTTGTTTGGAAACAAAAATAGGGAAAGAGCTGGTATTTGTAGGCCTCGGGGCTTCCTGTAAAACTTCCTGTGATTGCTTTGAATGCCAGGCTTATGTTACTGATTGGAAGGCAGGATCAGTTCACAGGAAAAATAAAGATTACTCATCAGCCCTGCATTGAAAGATCCTGGGAGTTGGAAGATTTTAACTCTTTGTACTGGGCCTTTTTTCAGTTCCACAAAGTTTACTCAAGGAGGCTGATCCCAGCAGTTTCCAAACTACCTCAGTTCCTAACCAGAGCACCAAAAAAGGTGACAGTACACAATACAGTTCACTTTATAATAGAACATCTGTGCAGTTAAGCTAAATAAACGGTTAAACTAATTTTCTTTGTTATTCATAGGGGAACACCCAGTTATCAGAAGTTCAAAGTTTCCAGAGAACAGGATTATTGTCAGCAATTCTTTAATGGCATATGGCTACATTACAGGTAAACTGAAATATATTAAAAGTCTTAAAGGGGTCATAAGATGTTGCTAAAAAGAACATTATTTTGTGTATTTGGTGTAATGAAATGTGTCAAAAAACATTATTTTCAACATACTGTACATTATTGTTTCTCCTCTATGCCCCGCTTTTCTGAAACACATCGATTTTTACAAAGCTCATCGGTCTGAAAAGCGAGGTGTGCTCTGATTGGCCAGTTATCCAGTGCGTTGTGATTGGCCGAATATCTCAAGCATGTGATGGAAATGTTACGCCCCTTACCATACTGTGATGCCATGTCCCGGCTGGAGCAACGAGAAAAAACATTAAAATCCATTATAAACGAGGCATTTGTTGCATCTAGGGGGGACATAATTATGGATTATAATGACTTATACTGTCTTTTTACGCGTTGCGTTGCATTCATAAAGCAGCCCAAATGGAGAATTTTTTTAAAATGGTTTTATAGAAGTATTTTATATAATTCAATTAGAATTCTATAATTTACTCACTTTCATGTCATTTCAAACCTCTATATTATTATTTTACCCATGCTATACAAAGGATAATTCTACGAAACATTTTATATGAAAATACTAATTTAATTTTACATTTGACATGAAAATACTATTCTCCACTAAGTCTTTCTACTTCAAAATTTCATTTAGTTCAATGTGTAACTTGCCGTTTCTTTGCAATTATTTGTGAGATTTACTAGCAATTTTCAGAATGAAAATAGTTTCAAAGTAAATCCAAAGCTAACTAGAAGTGAATGCACTTTTACTTTTTGTGTGAACTATTCTTCACAAGTACTCACAAGTCACAAGTACTTTTCTCTTTCTCTCAGAGCATCCAGAGATGGCAGGACTGCTCTTCACATCAAGTGTTTGTGTGGGACTTCTGATTGTTCTAATAGCTGTTTCAACACAGCTAACCTGCAGTAGACATCTAAATGCAACTAGAACGTTCAGGAAGAAGAGTAGAACAACTAATTTGGAAGAGGAGGAGCCAATGAACCAGGATAATGATGAAGAGGAGGAAGATGAGGATGAGAAAGGGTCATTAATGGACAGCTCTAACCGGTCAGAGATTGGCAGGAAGGTGTATTGCTGGGAAGATGTGACGTACACCACAGAGGCAGCAGATCTGATGGAGAGGATTGAGCGCAGGGAGCTTGTCATTCAGGAGATCAGGATGAACGCATACCTCAATGGAAACACGTGCATCCTGCATTCATACATGCCAACTATTACGCAGAATGTGCAGTAGCTGTAGTTTCAACCAAAAGGAGTGAGCATTTTGAATGCTTTCTGCTACCAAAACACAAAAATTAAAGGTGAAGTGTGGAATTTTTGTATCGCAACTGTCTTCAGACAGGTTTCCAGAACAATTCCCTCATCTGCTATTGGTCTGCCAAACAAATGGCCCGCCCCTAAGACACACTATTGGTTCAGCTTAATTTTTTAAACAAACAGACCAATATTTTGATCAAATCACAGATTCACTTTGCTACACTTTGAGTAAATTAACCTACATCAGTCTCATAATAAGCAATGAAAGATGTATTTTAACATAAAAAAAATTACACACATCACCTTTAAAGACACTGTCAGGTAAAAAAAAACTAAACTGATTTTTCACTGCGAGGACATAATAGCATAGAACAAGCAATACCTGATGTGTTTTATTGCCTGAGGGAGGGTGAAAGTTATTATTCTGTTCTAAAATTATTCTATTCAGCTGATAAAGTAGCTGTTGTATTACACTTTACATAATGTAAAGCCATGTAAAGAGAAAAGTATTTTATAAATTATTGCTCTATTAAACACTGGATGAATAATTTATGTGGTATTGAAATCAATTCAAATTCAGAAGACTGGTAAACATTTTTTATTAAAATGTATTATATTTAAAAGTGAAATCATAAAATGAAAATAAAATAAAAATAAAAATGAAAATAAAACGGAAAACTCTTTTATTACACAACATCGCACTCAACTTTTCCAGTGAAACCACACCTCCCGATACTGTAACCTCTATTTTGCCTTAAGGATACCAAAATGTTCTGTAATTCTTTCTCAACGCTCTTCAAATGAACTCTGCGGTGCCACAGCGATCCTTAGAGCTGCACGGCAACATCCTGTCTTTAAACAGCATTAAGTTTCAACTGAGTAACTGCCAGAGGCACAGACAAAGAGAGGAAAGGTGTTGCATCCTTCTGCCAATGAATCAGAGCAGAGAAATCTGATGTCCCGCTTTGCATTTACAAACAGTCACATAAATACCTTTCATATGTAACAAAGGCACCAAATTGCATAAAAACAACAGCAGTAGAGTGTAGAGATCTCTGATTTGTCAAATGGAGAGCGATTTTCTTTGTTCATCTATCTTGGGCCCCATTTGATATTTGTGAGTCCCTGGAACTGTCTTTTTAGGGCCTGTCTGTCCGACCAATCAGACTGAAGATACGAGTCATTATCTGTCTCTTCTAGTTTCTATTAGCAAGAACAAAACAGACCAAACAATGATGAATGCTCTAAAATAATAAGTAAATATATATAGTTAGATATATTTTAATCACTCAAATAAAACTATACATAACACACAACATACAATAAGAACATAAATCAAACGAGTTAGTTAGTTAGAGGCCACTCACTTTTAGTTCTTCCTGCCTCTTGTAATAATGCAGCATCATCTTTTTTTGTTCCTCTTCACTCACTAGTGGTTCTCGCGCTGGTGCACCCTGGCATCTCTAGAATGAATGTGCAAACAATGGTGATCATCAGTTTTCATTTCATTAGGTCAAATCATCTATATGGAAATTCTTCGAAGATACGTTTTAACACCAGATTAAGGTCACAAAAATAAAACTGAAATTCACACCGAACGCATACTTTCTGAATTTTCACAATAATTTTCGTTTTCTCATTTTTCCCAACATAATCCTGCAGCTTTTTGCCCCTCTGTAGTTCTTTAGATGCCCACCACAGCTGAGCCTCTTCTTCTGGGATCACCAGTAATGAGGCCTGCAGAGGAGAGCCTTCATATCAGTATTACAGCTTTGGTTATGTTCATCAAACAAATGAGGTATTGTATTGGTCTGTTTTATTATTAAGCAATGTGCATGTAGTTATTTAAAGGGAAAAATTACAATTATGTCATTTCCTCAGCCTCGTGTCGTTCCAAACCTGTATGACTTTACTTCTTCAGCAGTGCACAAAAGAAAATATTTAGAAGAATGTCAGGAACCAAACAACCTCGGAGCCCACAGACTTTATAAAAAATAAATTAATTTAAAAAAACACACATTTCTTAAAATATCCTCTTCTTTTTTTCCACAGAAGGTAGGAAGTCATACAGATTTGGAATGACATGAGGGTGACTAAACGATGACAGAATTTTCATTTTGGTTTGAGTATTCCTTTAAGAAAGGCAGAAAATATCTCAGATACCTGCGTTCCAGTAAGATCCTCTTGATTTTCAAACTCCATCCTTATTGGATCATGTGGAGGCAGCCCCATTGGGTAAACTATCATCACAGCTCCTCGCAACTGATCCAAAGCCTCTTTGACCAAATTCATGGTAACGCAGACATTCGCTTCCACTTGTTTCTTTAGAGTAAAGAAATATATATCACAAAACATATCAAAAGGGTAACAACATATTGAGTTTTAGAAGTATTCTATATTAGAATTAGCGTCATACTTTTGAGATTAAAGCTTTGGCTTCCTCCACTGTTTTCCTTAAAACTTCTTTCATCTTCTCGTTCGGAGCTAAATGGAAAGTCAGAATTTAGTTATAGCAATTAATCGGGCAATTCAAATGTAAACTTGTATAAAAAATAAATAAATTAAAAAAAACACACATTTCTTAAAATATCCTCTTCTTTTTTTCCACAGAAGGTAGGAGGTCATACAGATTTGGAATGACATGAGGGTGACTAAACGATGACAGAATTTTCATTTTGGTTTGAGTATTCCTTTAAGAAAGGCAGAAAATATCTCAGATACCTGCGTTCCAGTAAGATCCTCTTGATTTTCAAACTCCATCCTTATTGGATCATGTGGAGGCAGCCCCATTGGGTAAACTATCATCACAGCTCCTCGCAACTGATCCAAAGCCTCTTTGACCAAATTCATGGTAACGCAGACATTCGCTTCCACTTGTTTCTTTAGAGTAAAGAAATATATATCACAAAACATATCAAAAGGGTAACAACATATTGAGTTTTAGAAGTATTCTATATTAGAATTAGCGTCATACTTTTGAGATTAAAGCTTTGGCTTCCTCCACTGTTTTCCTTAAAACTTCTTTCATCTTCTCGTTCGGAGCTAAATGGAAAGTCAGAATTTAGTTATAGCAATTAATCGGGCAATTCAAATGTAAACTTGAAATGTGACAGCCAGGACTACCATGTCCATTTCGTCGTCCGAGCTCATCCTTCTTAAACTCAGCAACACCGCTGGGAATACAGCGGTCCTCCCATTCATCCTTTAGTTTGAGCTCCATGATCTGATCATCAGTCAGGCCTTGCATATTCGGTGGAAGAGAGACACCATGATCTGCCAGCTCTGGAATTTCTATGGAGACATAAATTAAATTAATAGTAGTTTTTAATGCTATAATATGCAATCAAACGTTTCACACTTGTTTTAGCACTTGACTTTATTAACATAACGTTAACTGCCACTTGCACAATAATACATGCATTTTAGGGTATGAACTCGTCTGTCAAGAACATAAACCAGTGGAACCCAAAGAATGTGATAAGCATACATAACATCATAGTCATACCAGAGCAGATCCTGTCCACTTTTAATCTTCCATTATAGATGGCGCTGACCTGCTGGGTCAGTGTCTCAATCGAGACAGCCACTGTAGTGTTGAAGAGAAGCTGACTCTCATCTCCTCGTTTGACGTGCAGCTGAACCATCTCCCACCTGCTCAATTTGACCCGTGCAGGAATATAACAAATCTGAGATTTTAAGATAAAGAAGATATATAACCACCGCCGGACAACAACAACAACAACAACAACAACAGAGAAGTGTTGAGGAAACTTGTTGCGTCCAGCGACTAGCGCCTCGCTGTGTTTGCGACTGTTGCCATGACACCCAACACCGCGCTCCAAGAATATTCTAGCATGACATGCGAGCAGGCTGCATAACATATGCATCTGAGGCGGTAACGTCGTGAAATTAATAATACAGACAATAGGCAAAATGAAGTCAATGAATAAAATTTTCAAATAACTTCCACTAATTATGCAAATTATACTCACACTTGATTCAGTAAATGAAGATATACAGATATACAGTCTATGGGGATCCACGCAGCAACAGTAGAGATACACTATTTCCACCGGAAGCCGCGTATTCAAAATAAAAGCTTCTTCAAACGCGGTCTAAAATAATGTGAACTTATTCTTCACGCTTTTCTAGTTAACTACATTAATTTAACACGATTGTTAGCTTTCAATATGCACACAGATGAGATACGCATTCAATGATATCAAATACATGCATGATAAATGTTACATAAAAGATGTACAAGAAGACACCAGATCAAGTTACTCACTGATTAATTACTACTTATAAACCAATGCATCTAATAACACAATACTGCAAAACCGTGCTGTTTTTAGTATCATTAAAATAAAAGTCAGCTATTGTCTCATTTAAATGATCCATTATATAATCAAAGCACAATACAAATATACACAATTATTTTAGCTTTTTCCAATATTACTGACAAGGAAAACTATCAGAGTCTATCTTTATATAACAAAAGTTAATTTATTTAAAGCGAGTGATATAGTAAGACTGCGTAAGGGTCGCAGCAGGGGAATTCACATGTAGGTCAGCCTGGGACTTTATTTACCTCCTCACAGCCGTGTGACCAGCTTTATATTCACGAAAGTCAGAGAAGTTTCTTCACCTCTGTTACATCTCACACAGGAGACATGAAACACAGCCACTGCGTCCCAGCTTTTGTCAGCAAACTTTGGACACTTGTAGAGGCTCCGTCAACGAACGACCTCATCTGCTGGAGCCAAGTGAGTATTTTATGCAAAATGCAGATTTGATTTATTTTAACTGTTGTTCGTGTGAGGTAATTATTATATAGTAATTATTTTTTATGACGTATCCTTTGTACAAACAACCAGTCCAACAATATTAACTCTTCAGAATAATAAACTCCACAATAATAAAGAAAAGAATTTCTTATAACTCGTTGAACATCACTCAGTTTATCTTCAGATGCCCTGTTAGTAATACTTTTTAATGCGCTATCTGACCCATTACAAAACAGATCCACGTGTATTGCGCTGCTGCAGGTGGAGGCAGCTCGCTATTGGTCCACTGTCCGTCCAATGGGTGCTCAGTATATTATTAGAACGTGGCCTACTACCTAATGTTATCTGCAAGAATAGAGTTTCGAACAGCTGGCTCTGTTTTTATACAGTCTATGCTCTGAACCAACTTACGCGTCAGGTGACAGAACGAGGTGCCCCGAAAATAGAACATTTATGATAAACATCCAAAAATAAAATAAAAATAAATCCTTATTATTTCGAAGATGCTTATATACATTTAAGTGAACTACATTAGTGTTAGATTTGAATAAAGCAAAGTATTGAATTGACCGCTATAAATGTTTTTTTTGAATGAATTTCTGGATATCAACGTGTACTATTTATATGCTTTTTTTTGTAAATGTGAATGTATTTACATTTGTTTGCTTTTAAGTTGTTGTTTTATTAACACGACTCCTCCTAGTGGTAAAGATTATATTTGGCTATATGTATATATATGCACCATAATAATTATTAATAATTTCATTATATTATTATGTTGAATAATTGAATTAAATTAAACAGCTTTATTGTCATTGCAAGCAGAGCAAACAACGACATTCTTAAAGCACCTCTATTGGTGTAATTAATATTCTATCTATCTATCTGTCATCTGTCTGTCTGTAAATGTGAATGGCTCTACCTTTATTTGCCTTTAAGCTGTTGTTTTAACATGACTCCTAGAGGTTAAGATTATATTATATATAACCACCATTATAATTATTAATTACATTAAATATATTATGTTGAATAATATCTATCTGTCTATCGATCTATCTAAAGTATTGTTTTGCTAATCTTTTGCTATTTTTTCTTTAAGCAGGCATTTGCAACAAAAATTCTAGTGCCAGATTTAGAGCTTTTATAGTTTGTTTTATACAAATAAAACATGAACTATGCAAAACATATTTAACTTTAAAAGATGTAAAGTGTAAAAGTAGTAAACTCAGGAAGCAAACTCGAATGATTCTAGAAACCTGCAGTAATATGTGCAAGTGCTTTTTAAGTACACATAGTGTTTCCTGCCAGACCGGAATGGGCTTTTCTTTAGAAACAGTTTGACATATATCAAGTGATGTAAGTCAAACCACATCTTCCTGTTTCCACTCTATTAGGATGGCTGCAGTTTTCTTGTCCAGGATGAGCAGCGGTTCAGCAAGGAAGTCCTGCCTCTTTACTTTAAACATAGCAACATGACCAGCTTTGTGCGCCAGCTCAACATGTGTACGTGTTCAGCCAATGATAAGATATACAGCATATAGATATATAGCATAATTTTCTAATTCTCCTGTGTCTGACATCCACCTACAGATGGTTTCCACAAAGTGGTACATATGGACGCTGGCTTGCCTAAAGCTGACAGCCAGGTTAATTGTGTCGAGTTTCAGCACGAGAACTTCCAGAGAGCGCAACCTCATCTGTTGGGCCTTATCCGCAGGAAGGTGAAGCTGATAAGCGTTATCATTATGCAGTATATCATTATGCTTGTGCAGAAGCAAAGCACTCACACACAGTTGCTAACCCTCAGATTCTCTCACGCTGAGATGTGTGTGTAAATATCTGTGTTGTATATGTGATTTCATGACTAGGTTTCAGTTAGCCGTGGAGTTGAAGAGGGAGGGCAGGTGTCTCAGGGACTCATTCAGGTTAGTCATGTCAGAGGCTGGCAAGACTCCTCAGACCTCAAACTCATGGCTTTGTGCAGGTGAGCTTTTCTCTGTAACAAGCACACTATTCATCAGTGTAAAGCTACACTTCAGCCTCGTTTATACATTTAAGAGTGGACGTCAGTGGAACTGTCAGTTAGTGCTTATTTCCTAATATGTCACTTCAAATACCATTCAAAAACATTAAAAAAGATTAGAAAAATATGACTTATATTCAGGCTGTATATATGTGATCAAAAATACAGTAAAAAAACCAGTAATATTATGAAATATTATTACAATTTAAAACAACTGTTTTCTATTTTAAAATATCTTTTTAATATCAGTGTTGAAAAAAAAGTTGTGCTATTTTATTTAGAATTTTATACAAGTTCAAAGGAACAACATTTATTTGAAATAGAAATCATTATTAATGTCTTTACTGTCACTTTTGATCTTTTTAATGCATCCTTGCTGAATAAAAGTAATCATTTCTTTCTAAAAAATCCATACATACTAACAGCAAACTTTTGAATGGTACTATAGATCAATGCTAATAGCATTTAAAGGGGTCATATGATGCTTTTTTAAAGATCATTATTTTGTGTATTTGGTGTAACAGAATATGTTGACATGCTTTAATGTTCAAAAAACACATTATTTTTCAAATACTGTACATTATTGTAAGTCCTCTATGCCCCGCCTCTCTCAAAGTTTTGAGCCTTTAGTCTTTGCACCTTCAGGGATCTTATCTATTCACAATCAGCTTGTAACACTCCAAAGAGAAAGGAAAACTTGAAATCGCATCATATGACCCCTTTAAATATTACATTCTCTGCCATGACTAAATCTTTTAACCATTTCTTTTCTGAAGGGATAATGAGAGCTTGTGGCGAGAACTGGACTCATTAAGACAGAACTATCAGCAGCAGCATAAAATCATACGCAAGGTAAATGGAAACACATTTGTAAACTATATAAATAATAACATTTTAAGTATATAATAATAAATACTTTTTTGATAATCACTATACAAACCTCTCCTATCCTATGTCACTCTTTTTCAGATGATAAAGTTCATCATCAACATCGTTCAGTCAAATGGGATAAAAGGTTGCAAAAGAAGACTGTAAGTTTGTTCACCTAAAGCACACAAAATGTTCTCATAGTCAGTGAGAAATGTGATTGTTTGCATTTTCAGCTATCTTTTCTCACATCACATTTCCTTTCTCCACCCTAACAGCCCCATGATCAACCATTCTGGGGAGTTTCAGTCTGCGCCGAAATATGCTCGTTCCTTCGGCGTGAATCCCACCCTTACCACTTCCCCCCACCAAGAGATCCCTTCGATGCAAGAGGTGCCTGCTAAAATCTTGATGTGTGATCTAATTTTGGTCTAAGTTTGAATTCTTGACTTCATCCAACACGATGCTGTTTAGTTCTAAAAGGAGCTTGATTTCTGTCATATTGAAAGTAAGTGACATCACTGTGGGTTTCTGGGCAGCTGGATGTGTCACCGGCTGATGTGTACTCAAATGGCATGATCATCTCTGACATCACCCACCTGCTGGATCCCACACCTGAGCCTAGCAGGTAAGACAGCAACAGCACACCTGTAGTCTTTATCCTCTACAGGACTCGTGTTTTGTATAATTATAATCTTCCGAGGTTTTTAAAAATACTTCTTTACTGGGTAAAAAACAAACAAACAAAAAAACAGAACTGAACTGAAAGTACTTTTTAGGGTTTCACAGTCTATTTTCCGGTTTCATTTGTGTTTTTGGTTTTACAGAGAGCCAGTGACAGACAGCTTTCCCGCAACTCAAACCACATTTTTATCTCCCGCCTCCCCTACTCTGCCCTCCATGGAGCTGGCACTGAATTTGCTAGATGACCCAGCTGCCCAGGAGTCTGAGGAAATACCCTCTGAAAGGTTAGATAGCAAACTGATCATGTGTGCCATTTTCTTTTATAATTATAACAGATCTCTGTTCTGTTTTATCAATAACTCTGTGCAGCCCTATGAAATACTGCACAGAGTTATTGATAAAACAGAACAGGAGGAAAATATTACTGTGATTTTTCTGCAAAAAAAAAAAAAAGATTTAAAATGCAATTTTCCAGATTTGTTGTGGTTATTTTTAGGGCTGAAAAATTTGGCCAAATATTGTGATTATATATCATTATGACAATGAAACAATTATTATTATTAGAAAAGAAAAAATACTTTTATTTTAAGACTATTTCACTCTAAAATAAATAAATACAGTAAAATTATCAAATAAATAAATAAAAATACAAAAAATTGTACACCTGTAGAATTACAATAGTAATATTTGTGACCCTAGACCAAAAAAACAGTCGTAAGTCGCTGGGGTATATTTGTAGCAATAGCCAACAATACATTGTATGGGTCAAAATTGTCAGGGTTTTTTTTTTATGCCAAAAATCATTAGGATATTAAGTGAAGATCATGTTCCATGAAGATATTTTGTTAATTTCCCACCATAAATATATAAAAACTTAATTTTTGATTAGTAATATGCATTGCTAAGGATTTAATTGACAACTTTAAAGGCAATTTTCTCAATATTTTGACTTTTTTGCACCCTTAGATTCTAGATTTTCAAATAGTTGTATCTCAGCCAAATATTGTCCTATCCTAACAAACCATACATAAATGGAAAGCTTATTTATTCACAAATTGACTGGTTTTGTGGTCCAGGGTCACATTTGTTTCTTTATACAGTGGGTACGGAAAGTATTCAGACCCCTTTAAATTTTTCACTCTTTGTTATATTGCAGCCATTTGCTAAAATCATTTAAGTTAAATTTTTTTCCTCATTAATGTACACACAGCACCCCATATTGACAGAAAAACACAGAATTGTTGACATTTTTGCAGATTTATTAAAAAAGAAAAACTGAAATATCACATGGTCCTAAGTATTCAGACCCTTTGCTGTGACACTCATATATTTAACTCAGGTGCTGTCCATTTCTTCTGATCATTCTTGAGATGGTTCTACACCTTCATTTGAGTCCAGCTGTGTTTGATTATACTGATTGGACTTGATTAGGAAAGCCACACACCTGTCTATATAAGACCTTACAGCTCACAGTGCATGTCAGAGCAAATGAGAATCATGAGGTCAAAGGAACTGCCTGAAGAGCTCAGAGACAGAATTGTGGCAAGGCACAGATCTGACCAAGGTTACAAAAAAATTTCTGCTACACTAAGAGCATAGTGGCCTCCATAATCCTTAAATGGAAGACATTTGGGACGACCAGAACCCTTCCTAGAGCTGGCAATCTGGCCAAACTGAGCTATCGGGGGAGAAGAGCCTTGGTGAGAGAGATAAAGAAGAACCCAAAGATCACTGTGGCTGAGCTCCAGAGATGCAGTCGGGAGATGAGAGAAAGTTGTAGAAAGTCAACCATCACTGCAGCCCTCCACCAGTCGGGGCTTTATGGCAGAGTGGCCCGACGGAAGCCTCTCCTCAGTGCAAGACACATGAAAAAACACCTGAAGGACTCCAAGATGGTGAGAAATAAGATTCTCTGGTCGGATGAGGCCAAGATAGAACTTCTTGGCCTTAATTCTAAGCGGTATGTGTGGAGAAAACCAGGCACTGCTCATCACCTGTCCAATACAGTCCCAACAGTGAAGCATGGTGGTGGCAGCATCATGCTGTGGGGGTGTTTTTCAGCTGCAGGGACAGGACGACTGGTTGCAATCAAGGGAAAGATGAATGCGGCCAAGCACAGGGATATCCTGGACGAAAACCTTCTCCAGAGTGCTCAGGACCTCAGACTGGGCCAAAGGTTTACCTTCCAACAAGACAATGACCCTAAGCACACAACTAAAATAACGAAGGAGTGGCTTCACAACAACTCTGTGACTGTTCTTGAATGGCCCAGCCAGAGCCCTGACTTAAACCCAACTGAGCATCTCTGGAGAGACCTAAAAATGGCTGTCCACCAACGTTTACATCCAACCTGACAGAACTGGAGAGGATCTGCAAGGAGGAATGCCAGAGGATCCCCAAATCCAGGTGTGAAAAACTTGTTGCATCTTTCCCAAAAAGACTCAAGGCTGTATTAGATCAAAAGGGTGCTTCTACTAAATACTGACCAAAGGGTCTGAATACTTAGGACCATCTGATATTTCAGTTTTTCTTTTTTAATAAAATCTGCAAAAATGTCAACAATTCTGTGTTTTTCTGTCAATATGAAAATAACCTTGGCCAGATCTGTGCCTTGCCACAACTCTGAGCTCTTCAGGCAGTTCCTTTGACCTCATGATTCTCATTTGCTCTGACATGCACTATGAGCTGTAAGGTCTTATATAGACAGGTGTGTGGCGTTCCTAATCAAGTCCAATCAGTATAATAAAACACAGCTGGACTCAAATGAAGGTATAGAACCATCTCAAGGATGATCAGAAAAAATGGACAGCACCTGAGTTAAATAGAGCTCAGAGACAGAATTGTGAGCTCAGAGACAGAATTGTGGCAAGGCACAGATCTGGCCAAGGTTACAAAAAAAAATTCTGCTGCACTTAAGGTTCCCAAGAGCACAGTGGCCTCCATTCCTTAAATGGAAGACGTTTGGGACAACCAGAACCCTTCCTAGAGCTGGCCGTCCAGCCAAACTGAGCTATCGGGGGAGAAGAGCCTTGGTGAGAGAGGTAAAGAAGAACCCAAAGATCACTGTGGCTGAACTCCAGAGATGCAGTCGGGAGATGGGAGAAAGTTGTAGAAAGTCAACCACCACTGCAGCCCTCCACCAGTCAGGGCTTTATGGCAGAGTGGCCCGACGGAAGCCTCTCCTCAGTGCAAGACACATGAAAGCCCGCATGGAGGACTCCAAGATGGTAAGAAATAAGATTCTCTGGTCTGATGAGAACTTTTTGGCCTTAATTCTAAGCGGTATGTGTGAAGAAAACCAGGCACTGCTCATCACCTGTCCAATACAGTCCCAACAATGAAGCATGGTGGTGGCAGCATCATGCTGTGGGGGTGTTTTTCAGCTGCAGGGACAGAACGACTGGTTGCAATCGAGGGAAAGATAAATGCGGCCAAGTACAGGGATATCCTAGACGAAAAAACCTTCTCCAGAGTGCTCAGGACCTCAGACTGGGCCGAAGGTTTACCTTCCAACAAGACAATGACCATAAGCACACAGCTAAAATAACGAAGGAATGGCTTCACAACAACTCTGTGACTGTTCTTGAATGGCCCAGCCAGAGCCCTGACTTAAACCCAATTGAGCATCTCTGGAGAGACCTAAAAATGGCTGTCCACCAACGTTTACCATCCAACCTGACAGAACTGGAGAGGATCTGCAAGGAGGAATGGCAGAGGATCCCCAAATCCAGGTGTGAAAAACTTGTTGCATCTTTCCCAAAAAGACTCATGGCTGTATTAGATCAAAAGGGTGCTTCTACTAAATACTGAGCAAAGGGTCTGAATACTTAGGACCATGTGATATTTCAGTTTTTCTTTTTTAATAAATCTGCAAAAATGTCAACAATTCTGTGTTTTTCTGTCAATATGGGGTGCTGTGTGTACATTAATGAGGAAAAAAAATTAACTTAAATGATTTTAGCAAATGGCTGCAATATAACAAAGAGTGAAAAATTTAAGGGGGTCTGAATACTTTCCGTACCCACTGTATCTTCATTTTAAACCAATATACATATACGTTTTTCTTTTGGTGGAAAACCACAGGGTTAAAGATTCTCCTTTGTTGGCAACATGCTTCTCATTAAAAATCTAGTGAAATATTTGTCATGTTGCATTTTCAAGCAACCCAAACTAACTGCACTTGCAGAGATGAAGATCGTGTGAAGCAGCATTGACTGCAAACCAAGTTGCCCCGAGACACTGAAAACACTGTTATCCTGAGCAGCTTGCCTATAAATGAACAGTGTTGTGCTTCACTCTAAAACAAATGGAACATTTACTTATTTAAAAATAAATCGCAGACTTCGTCATTTGATAATCACACTGAGCCATTTTGATTAAATGTTCAGCCCTAATATTTCACTTCTCTTCTTCTCTTGAGAACAGTAATGATGTGTCGGATCCACTGGCACTAATTGAATCCAGTTTAGCAGTGATCCGCTCATACGTTCCACCCTCACCAGACCTGGACAATTTCAGCAAGGTCTGACTTAGACATCTTTAAAAATACAACACAGATGCTATTACAAACCACACAGCTTCAGTAATAGTTAACAGGCTTTTGTATAATTTCATGTTCATGATAGATCCTTAGTCCTGGCTGCCACATCTCTGCTGTTAAAGACTCTGACACGAAAACCAAGAGCAAACAGAGAAGCCAGAATGAAGCCGATGCGCTACCTCACGCCGACACAGGTATACAGATATACGCCCACGCTTCCCTCTCACACACCAACCTGAACCCACACATGTATCACCTGCACAAACCACATGAATTCAGAACTTACACTTCTGGTTTGTTCCTTTTATTGTGTTTGTGCAGTTACACAGCAGCAGAGCCTGCAACAAAATGCAGACCCGGAGCAGGAGCGCTACGATAGTGGGGAGTATTCAGATATCTTACCATCCCTTCTGCAGCTGGTGCAGGAAGCATCCAGCCTCTCCTTCAGTGAAACTACACTGCCTTTAGAGCTCTCTTTTATCATTTAAAACTCTAATGCATTTGATATTGTGCTGTGGTGGTTGATAGTAAAAAGTGGTATCTGAAACAGCCAATAGTTGATAGCTCTGCTGTTTAATGGAAGGCTCAGTATCATTATGCGGCAATTGGATATATGTAAATTGTAAATTATGTAAATTTTCCATTGTGATTTTTTTATCCATCAATGAACTCTAACCTCTCTTGTTGACTCAAGAGTGATTTCACAACAAACTTTTAGTCTATTAGCACAATTTACCATGTGGGGTAAAGCAATAGACCAAAATGACAGAAAGCACTTTGAATCATCTGTGTTTTTTAAAATTCAGTACATGATGGAAAATTTTCCGTTAATGCAACCTCTGCAGTGGGTGCTGTTTTAAAGGCAGCATTTTTGTGTGGAAGGCTTGCCATGATGGTTTTATTTTGCAGAAAATCTGCTGCATACACCCACCAAATGTCTAAATGTGTAACAACTAATATGCTAATAATAGAACTAATGTGGCAATTAAAGTTACTTAAGAGCATGATATGCTATTGATACACAATATTTATATTTATATATATATATATATATATATATATATTAATATATACTACTATAGTATATATTAATGAGTAGTAAATTTCTCCACTGAAATAAAGATATGGTCGCCAAATATATGATAGCATATTAGTTTAGAGACAAAAGATTGTTTACAATGATTTCTGATGTGAATCAGTTATTTAGCTGTACTCGATTTTACTTGTTGTACTTTATTGTCTAACTAAAGGCCAGAATATAGGCTATAAGTTTATTCCTTAAACATATTAGTATAGTTTATTTTTTGGATTTTTAGGTTTTTGATATGTGTTGCCATGTAAAAGTGAATTATGTAAAAGCAAAATAAAATTTTTAATTTTTAATGCCTACTCTCTTTCATACACAAATTTAGCATTCAGTTCTTTTCATAACAGGCAATCAGCTGAATGTGGCTTCTCTTGAACAGGAAATCTCACACACATACGTCAGACCACACAGAGCACATACATTTAGGTTAGAACAGGGAAGACAGAAACAGACCTAAAACAACAAGTGCGTTATGCAACCCTGTCCAAGATGATATTACTTTTAGTTGGTCTTTTCCTTGGGAACATTCCTTCATTTGCATTTTCTGCATCATCCCAGCCAAGTGAGTATTTTACAACTACACTATTTTGAAATGTAATGTATTTTTTTCCTTCTTATTTTGATTTTACATTATGTTGCCTTTACAAAACACATCATACCTAGTATTAAAATACAAAAGGTTTACAGAAGTAATTTCTAAACTATTAAACAAAACAGGGTAGGGTTTGTTGGATTTTTATTCATTTCTTCCCCTTTTTGTGGTTTTATATGTTCTTTTAAACTACGGAAGTATGTGGTTCTACAACAGTTAAGATGTTCAAATCTAATATGTTAACATATATAGGGCCTAAAAACATCTGGCGATGGCGATTATTTCATCAGCAGACGTGACCATTACATACTCCTCAAGAAATTGTGAAATTTTTCAGCAACCTGTCGCTGAAGAGTTGACAATGTTCAGATGCTTGCTTTCCAAAATGGCTTCTCAGTGGCCATGATGCGCACACGCAACCAAAGACACAACTTGAGCTTACAACACTTTCAGTTCAGTTTTTCTATATAATGACTAAATCAAAATGGTCTAAAAATTCTGATGTAAAACTATGATTTAATTTTAATCAGTAAGACTGTATAAAATTGTGATTTTGACTGAAAATTTACATGTTTCCTGTATGTATATGTTTCTTTCCAGTCCTCACAGGCTGAGCATCCTCTACTGACAAACTACATGCATTGCAAGCTGCAATACTGTGCCATTTATACATTACATAATTCATTCGAATGAAAAATAACTATATTATTTTTCTCTTCTTTACCCAGAAATTAACTGCCTTATCATAAATCTGGACTATGTTAATTGCACATGGACTGAGCATGAGCACAATTACAGTTTCAAGAGCAGGTGCGCATGTTGAACAAAATAGAAAACCTGCATTTTTGGATGAAAGTTTCAGAACTGACAACAGCGTGTGTTTGCTTTCTTAGGTTTACTCATAAAGAAATTCTGGATTGTCCAAATTATCTCAGGATTGATGGTGTTAACGTGGGCTGCGTGTTCCCCTACGAAAAACCACAACGGTTTAATACGTTAAAAACATGGCTGTACAGTGACAATGGCGGTTTGGTGACAGAGCAGGAACATAATCTCAAAGCATATGGTATTAGAAATTATTCATATTTATTATGACTTGACAATAATTGACCTGTTGATGAATTGATACTTTATATACTCTGTTGCTAATCAGTGAAGCTTTACCCTCCGGTCAACCTGTCTGTGGTGGAGAAAAAAGATGCTGAACTGTGGCTGTACTGGAATATTACAAAGAACGACAGCTGCATTGAGAGTGAAGTTCGTCACAGGACAGACAACAATGCGTGGAAGGTATGAAATTTGTTTTATGAAACTAAATTTTGATTGGCCACATTTGAAACACACGGACATTGTATAGGTATTAATTTCATATGGCCTATAATGGCTTTATGATTTACGAGAAACATGTACTGATACTGAAATCGCATCAAAATAAATGTGCAAAAGTGGTTTTATATACACAGAAAGCATATCAAATGCAACTAAAGTGTCTACTTTAATGTTTTTAAAATTAAATAAAAATTCAATTAATTTTAAAATTCAATTAATTAATTTTGCATTGTGATCCTTAAATAGTCTTTTAATGTCGTCTAATGATTATTGATCTAAATATGCCTGACAAGATTTTTTGGGGTATTTAGACTATTACACTGAATGGCTTTTTTTCTGTAAATCCTGGTAAAATGTATGATAGTAACTATTTTTGGCTCAGAAAAAATAAATAAACAGGACACATTCTTATATACAAAAAAAGTAAAGCTGTACTAAATTATTATTGCTGTGATGCTTGAAAGCTCCTTTTTGTCTTTTTTCATCTCCAAACACCAAAGCATCTATTGCAAGTCTTTAAATCAGGGTTTTAAACTTACATATGGATTGGGTGAATGATTCAATGACTCAGTCATAAGAAAATGTCACTCGTTTCTTTCCTGTAGTAACCAATGTTGAAAAAGACAAGTCACTTGTCGCCACCTATCGGCTTCATGATGTAACATGCGGAGTAATACGTTCAGTAGAAATTCCAAAAAATAATAATTATAGAGCCATTAGCATGTTACTATGCCATATGTTATATCTTGTTGGAACTGCTTATTAAATGATAAAGTGATTTGCTGGGATAAAAGAGAAAGTCCCAGTGCGCGACGACTAGACTAATCAATTTCGAAGACAGTGATGTACAAATTGTCATTGTAATGCATTCTCACCTTGTGGTCGTCTGACCACCAAACACAAAACGGCAAAGTTTACATCTCTCTTCCCTAGAGCACCACTCCAGGCCACAGGACCTCCTTCAGTTTGCCTTTTCCCTCAAAAAAACGCTATGAGTTCCAGGTCCGGGCTCGAATAGAGTCATCCTGCGGAGAGTCCAAGTTTTGGAGCGACTGGAGTGAGCCTGTCTACTGGGGATATTTAAAGACCAACAACACCTCAGGTAAATTATCTTATCCGTATTACAAGTCTCTCAGTGCTTTATCTGCCTGTAACTTTACATCGAACTCGAAATGGCGTGACGCCTTGCCTGTGCGCGCTCTCGCACTCGCGCAACCACTGTTGCCAACTCATTTTCAGGGGAAGTTGCTAAAGGAAGATTGATTTGTTGCTAAAGGAAGATTGATTTGTTGCTAAAAGTTGCTAAATGACCCGACGTCATTGCGCGGTGACGTCATTGCGTAATCACGATGCAAAATTGTGTCACTGCATCAAATCTCAGCCAAAAATAAAATAAAAATGTAAATGTTCATTTAGATGTATTTATAAAATCATATAAATGCATAATATAATATTAAAATATAAATAACTCATTTTAAATACAACATTGAATTATTTAGTACTTTCACATTTTTTAACAATTACAATTTAAGTTTATTTTTATTAGCTAGTAAACTAGTAAAACTACTCATTCTGAACGATTATAGATGTAAGCAGTGTATTAGTAGTTCGTATGCTACACTAAGAAAAGTCTGTAAAAATAAGGCAAAATCTATTAATGTGAAGGAATTTTCCGTAATTATTATTCACACGGTTTTTTAACCTACATTTTAAATTACGCATTGTATTTTGTGTTTTCGGGTTACAATGGATAACGGATAATGTCCTGGAAAATTACTACCTTTTTCATTTTTCTAGATATTTTTCTTGCCGTGTACTAACTGATCAACAAACTCAAGTACAAGCTACTAACAAGGTGTATCATAATAAATGAGCAATTATTCAATTATTATTATTAAATTAAACAATTGCTAATAGCAGCCAACTTAATTCATGTGAATTGTGTACTGCTAGGCACCTTTGGTTTCCTCTTTTTGTGTAATTTAGATGGAAAATCTGTGTGCCTTTTTTATCGTTTGAGTCACTTATCAAAAGTTGCTAAATGTTGCCAAATAAAAATTTTTAAAAAAAGCTAAATTTGTTGCTAGGTGCTTTTGGAAGAAAAAGTTGCTAGGGTAGTCTGAAATGTTGCTAAATCTAGCAACAAAATTGCTAAGTTGACAACACTGCGCGCAACGCACTGCAGCAAATTGCTTATTCTCATGTTTTCCATGATCCTTTACCAGACTGGATGTGTTTTAAAAATAGGTTTACATGTTGAAAGTGAGGAATTTGTCATATAAAATCTTTCCACAACCAGTTTCACATTTGATGATTAATATACGTACTAAATTAGGTCTAATGAGATGTTAGTGCTCAGTGATTAAAGGCGTAGTCTCTTACTGTAACTTCACTATGACAGAATTAAATAATCCTAATATATTCCTTATTTTTAACGTAATATTTGTGCCATTCCTTCCCGTCACAATGCTAAATATTAAAAACTGATATTGACTTATTTACCTATAACAAGATAAGGTATATTCAAAGAAAATGACTTACACGTTGCAAAATAAGGTGCACAAGGCCTGTACCAATACCCACACTTGCAGTCTTTGCACTTGACCACTTGTTGACTTGCATTATGCTCTATATAGTGTGGTAAAAATTAATAAAGTATTTGCACATTTTGATTTTCAGTACTTCAGAATGTCTGTTCAGTAGTGCCCGTGTAACAGGTGACACAATTTAGCAATTGTGATGCTTGTTATAATGTTGTAAACCTTTTTACCAAATACACATAAAAGATGCCTCAAATACTGCTCAGAAGTGCATTAAGGGCACTGAAATTTGGCATTTTTCAGACCTGCTGGTAAAATCTTCCTATTAAGTGCAAAGTCTCAAGTGGCCAAGACCGCAAGTGTGGGTAGTACGCTGTCAGTTAACAAACAAACTTTTTTTTTTTTACTGTACTAAACCATAAACGTCATATGTTTGCAAAGGTTTGGGCTTAATTGAAAAAATAGTGGTCATGTTTTTTTTATTTGTGTCAAAAGTATTTTCCTCACAGTGAGCTGTTTTCCACAGTAATGTAGGTGAGATTTCTGTAGGGTCGCCCGAAGCAAGGCTTTTTTGCAAGCAGTGTCCATTGTAACGAAGTGTAAGATGTGTCTGTGATAAACATGTATACTTAGTACAAAGTAAATTCTAGAATCTGATTTGTGTACTTTTGGGAAAATCCCATCACCTACCAACCTATGTATTATCTGAGTGATATTTGTGATTCATGCTGCTGGCAATTTTTTATGTAGTTGCAGAAGTTTCACTTTTTCATACTGTATCGTAAAAGGCCCTAAAAAGGCACCTGAAAACGTAAAATTATACAACATTGGTAGCAAATGTATCTTGATTGATTAATTGTCTATTCATTGTGTGCGTTTTCTTCAGGATTTATTTTTGCACTTTTAGCGTTTTTGCTCATTTATAGTACTCCGATAACATTTTTGAACAACATTCAATATACTTTTGAGACATTTAACATTTAGAATGTGAACTTGCCATTTTAAGATGATTATGTGTTCAAGACAAATATAATGCTTCAAGAATGTACTGCTTTTACAATCTGAATAAAAAGATTCAAATTTTCACAATGTCTGTGATGACTACTTAAGATATTCTGAGCAAATCATTTTTATTTTTTCACAGTAGATTTTGAGCTGATCTTGAAGTGGGATGCTTAAACTGCAAGAACATCAAATACATTAATATTTTAAAATTTATAAAATTTTAATAAGATCATACGATTGTGACACACGCTAAAGAATCATTAGAATAGGTCTGAGGCACATTTACATTTTAAACGAGCAGATACTTTAAAAAATGACCCCAAAACACTTACTATGCATAAATGGCATGCATTTTGAATGTATATTAGTATAATGATCTGGTATTGTGCAAGTCTATATTTCTATGTATAATTTTACATAAATCATGGTTTGTCGCAAATATCATACTAGCTTTGTTAAAGGCTACGTACAAAACAGAAAAGAGTTTATCCAAGCTGGTCTTCATACTGTTTTCTGAAGCAGTCTCCAGCAGGGAAGAAATCCCAGCATCTCTCCTGGTACATCTTCCACACGTATGACTCCTGTCACACATACACATGTCTGTTATATTTAGATCGCTTTTTATGTTTAGCAGTTATGAACATTTTGACATGTCTTGCCTGCCCAGTATGCTCAGTTTCATCCTTGTTGATCAAGTACATCAGGAAGAACCTAGTGAAGAGAGAAACATTATTTTTGTTTGTCCGAAGATGGAGAAAATGTATAACATCAGAAAGGTGGCATAAAACCAAATTGCTCACATGTAATTGGCCAGGTTGTGTTCTTCAAGCGTATGTGTCTCAAAGCCATGTGGCGTTGTATCGAAGTAATCACTCCCAATACCACATATAAAGCATTTGGTCTGAAGAAGCAATGCAAAGCGTAAAATCAGACACATCGATAAGAATAAAAACTTAATGTGTATTTTTTTTGTTGATCAAACCGTAAAGATCTCAGTACCTCCATGTCTTCTTTGACCTGCTCTTGCTGGTCTCTCAGCTCACCAAAAGCATCAATGATCAGACCTGTGCAGACAAACATGCAGTGAATTGCAGTGCAGTGTTTTCAATCTGATCCAGAAAATGAAACCTCAAAGCCAGTCATAAATCGCTGATATGTAAGGTTTAATGTGGTAGATTTGCTAGGCGCAGAAACATGAGTCTAACCTTGAATGATGGCCAGCAGGATGACGATGACAAAGAAGAAAAAGGTGATGTCGAAAACCACCCGATAGAGTTCATACTCATCCCCTGCTGGGTCCTCAATCTCGTCTCCTATGCCTCCACCTGCCCGCACACCCACGTACATGTGGAACAGATAACACTGTGAAGAGAAAGAGAGATTTGTTGGATTATACAGCAGGTGTTTGGTTAGGGAAGAATTGAAGAAAAAAGTGAGCAACCACCAACAAAATGCATTATTAGAGAAAAAGAATAAAAGACAATTGAACACTAATAATGTTGTATAATGCAGTGACCAACCGTCATCATGTCATCACACTTCATGTCCGGCTCATCCTCATCCTCGCTCTTATTGTAAAACTTCCTGAAGAAGTTGAAGGCCACCACAGTGTAGAGGTACACAACCACAGCCAGCAAACCCACAGTCATCATCAGCTGAAACAACCCAACAGAGTCAACCGGTGTATAAGTGCAGATTTTCAGAACCAGTTTGAATTGTTGTACTGACTGTACCTGTTTTCCATTGTGTGTGACCGAGGAAAGAATTGTACGCAGGGTCTTGACACCCATTGCGATGTCCAGCAGGTGACAAGCAAAGAAGAAATTGTTGTAATGTCCAAGAAGTGACATAACTGTGTACCACACCAGGTAGAGGAAAGTCTGTAAATGAAGAACACTTTAGTACACTTGACTAGAACTGTGCTTTGCAAAGTCTGCGATTTTAGAAAATACCGTAAATTTTAATACCTGAAAAAAAAAAAAAAAAAAAAAAAAAGTCTGAAAAATTAACATTTTGGCAATTCTGTTTGGTGCCACTAGTGGCAAAAAATAACACATAACCTAAATGTAATATCTTTAAATGTCACAGAATGATAAGTCACTTGTAATGCATTTTTAATACCATGCAAGCATAGAGTTGTCTGGCTCTTCGGGTTTCTTGTCTGTCTGTTGTTAATTTTTATATCTACGTGCATTTGAAATTAAAATGATTGTGAGGCATGCCATTTTGAATTAAACAAACATTTAAACAAACACATGTAAACAAGCCTAGAAATCCAAATAAACCACAAATTAAACCAGGAAAACAGTGTGAAAATCCAACCTTATAGAAGAGAAGAATGAAGTTCAGGGCAAAGGCGATGAACAAAGCCAGGAGAATTTTTATATCTACGTGCATTTGAAATTAAAATGATTGTGAGGCATGCCATTTTGAATTAAACAAACATTTAAACATAAACACATGTAAACAAGCCTAGAAATCCAAATAAACCACAAATTAAACCAGGAAAACAGTGTGAAAATCCAACCTTGTAGAAGAGAAGAATGAAGTTCAGGGCAAAGGCGATGAACAAAGCCAGGAAACGAAGGTTGTAGAAGTTACGGGACAAACAGTTCTGTAGATTGAAGTGGAGATTAACAGCATATCAAAACCCGCAAAACGTAACTAAACCTGGAACTAAAACTCAACGATTCAACTCAAATTTAGAAGAAATTATTTTTTTTCCTACCATGAATTTATTTCTTTGAACATCCAACTCATTCCAGAGCTCAAATCCTGCTCCCTTGACGGATTTCTTTTCCTTTTTGGCTTTAGTGGCTTTCTCAGGTTTTGTTTCTTCTGGTGTGGCCTCAGGCTTGACCTCTGCTTCCTTCTCAGCCTTCTCTCCATTCTCAGTGCTGTTACACATGGAAGATGGTCATTGAAATGGTAAATACGTCTAGAAAAACAACAAAGAATCTAACAGAAACACTAAAATGTCCTGTTTTCCCTTCATTTGGGAGTCACTCACTCTGCTTTCTCAGGCTCAGGAGGAGGTTCTTCAATAGCAGGAGGTTGTTCAGGTCCTGCTTCTTCTGGTTGCTGCAGCATAAAAAAACAAGGACCAACGGACCAACATCAAATAAAAGTCTTTGTGTAGAAGATTGGTGAAGGAACACAGGGAATCCAGCTAAATAAACACCATACCACCATACCATTCAGTAATGGAGTGCCCTCTGGAGTTGGCGGTTCCACAGGGGTCGTGTCACCCATATCTCCAAGTCCACCTGGTGTATCGATACCAGGAATCTTCCCACCGTCTTTTTCTTGGATGTCCTCATCCTCCTCCTCTCCCCCTCCTATTTCCATTGAGTCTGTTATCCCTCCTGTATCTTGCTCTTCTCTGCCCCTTGGTTCTCCCGGTAGGTCTCCATGCACCTCATCCTGCGTGGGATCCGGCATGCTGGCCAGCAACTCTAGAAGTTACGGGACAAACAGTTCTGTAGATTGAAGTGGAGATTAACAGCATATCAAAACCCGCAAAACGTAACTAAACCTGGAACTAAAACTCAACGATTCAACTCAAATTTAGAAGAAATTATTTTTTTTCCTACCATGAATTTATTTCTTTGAACATCCAACTCATTCCAGAGCTCAAATCCTGCTCCCTTGACGGATTTCTTTTCCTTTTTGGCTTTAGTGGCTTTCTCAGGTTTTGTTTCTTCTGGTGTGGCCTCAGGCTTGACCTCTGCTTCCTTCTCAGCCTTCTCTCCATTCTCAGTGCTGTTACACATGGAAGATGGTCATTGAAATGGTAAATACGTCTAGAAAAACAACAAAGAATCTAACAGAAACACTAAAATGTCCTGTTTTCCCTTCATTTGGGAGTCACTCACTCTGCTTTCTCAGGCTCAGGAGGAGGTTCTTCAATAGCAGGAGGTTGTTCAGGTCCTGCTTCTTCTGGTTGCTGCAGCATAAAAAAACAAGGACCAACATGACACATACAAATAAAAGTCTTTGTGTAGAAGATTGGTGAAGGAACACAGGGAATCCAGCTAAATAAACACCATACCATTTTCTTCTTCAGTAATGGAGTGCCCTCTGGAGTTGGCGGTTCCACAGGGGTCGTGTCACCCATATCTCCAAGTCCACCTGGTGTATCGATACCAGGAATCTTCCCACCGTCTTTTTCTTGGATGTCCTCATCCTCCTCCTCTCCCCCTCCTATTTCCATTGAGTCTGTTATCCCTCCTGTATCTTGCTCTTCTCTGCCCCTTGGTTCTCCCGGTAGGTCTCCATGCACCTCATCCTGCGTGGGATCCGGCATGCTGGCCAGCAACTCCGTCACGGTGATGTTCTTGGCCCCTTCAACTAAACCACCTCCAAAAAGTGTATGCCAGATGAGCAGGAAGAAACCTTTACACACACTGTAAATGAAATAGAGGATGCCCATGAGGATTGTCCATAGGAAGGTAGCAAGCTTGACCACAATGTCCTTGATGGTCATCTTCCTGAGCCTACGGTACTGTCTGCGAATATTCCTAAAGGTAAACATGCCCAGGAAATTCATAATGCTTTGGATGAAATCGGAAAAGGCAGAGCTTGATTCTGGCTGGCCCTCCTCTCCACCTGCCTCTTCATCTCCTCCGCCTCCTCCATCGGGTTCCTCGGCATCGTCCTCTTCTTTCTCTTCCTCATCCTGCTCTGAAATCTGTGAAGCGATGTTCATCTCAAAGATGGTGTCCTCACAGAAGTTGACAAAAAGCTCCATCTTCTCTGATTCGACACCTTCATTGACCACGTCAAATATGAACTGCCGCTTGGACTCTTTGACCTGAGGCATTTCCCATTGCTTACGATTCACCTCACTGATCTCAAAGTAGATCCTCTCGATCTTCCTGCTGGCACCCATTATCTCGATACGGCCCAAGAATGGGCGGAAATAGTTCAGAACGCTCTCAGCTTGTTCAAGGAAATTCTGCAACCTGGTATCATGAGGAACATGTTCAGAGAGGTTGGTTAGCAGCACTGCTATGTTAAAACCAATGTCTTTTGCTGGCTCTTGGAACCGACTGGCAAACTCCACGTAATTAATCATCTCATTCTCATCTGCCTCAGAGCAGGACAATAGGAATTGGATCTCCGCAGGTGTGTACTGTTTCTGGCTGTCCATGGCTTTCTGGAAATCCTTCTTGGATATCAAACCTCTGGGGTCTGTCACATAGTCGCGGAATGCATCAGATGCAACAATGTCCTTCAGCTTGAGGAACATGTCAAAGAATTTAAGGATCATTTCTACATTGCTGGAGGACTCCACTAGCATGTCCACCATTTGGCGAGCAATGGTGCCATTTACAACATTACCTGACAAATACAGAGTCATACAGGCTAATCAGATCTAGGACTGAATGATGTGAAACTGATGAACATAAATTCAAGATTTTCTTCATACCCTCCAGCAGAGACAATAACATGACCACCATATCTTTCTGAAGGTCCAACAACTCTTTCAGAAGACCAATCTGACTGGAATCCTTCAAGAAAACACAATGACAATCTGTATAATATATACTCTACCATAACATGTATAATCTAAATCAGCAGCTTTTATAAAACTAAAAGAATATTTATTATTTATAAAAATGGGAACAACACAACATCATTATTTGTGAGGGTATAGCTTACTGTATAAAGGTATGGTCACAAAAGCATCTTTATAACAAATGTTAACATCAGATTGGTTGAGGAAAATGTAAAAAATTTTAACATTTAAATGTAGGTTAATGCATGCAGTAACAATAACAGGGGTTAATTACTAGAAAGAGAAACACTCCATACACACGAGATCATGAAAAAAAATAAATCAAACAGCACACCAAAGGCAGAACTGTAGAAGAGGCCAAACACTTTTTAATACAGCAAATTCACATAAAGCTAAAAACACGTGGTTTTTCTGGGTAATGTTAACTGCCATCCATTTTCTCAGGCTGTTTGACCCACTTGTTTGCATACTTTTTTTTTTTTTTAGCAGAAATGTTACAAGAAATTGAAATAAATGAAGAGTAAAATTAGATTTTGTGTCAAAAAAGGCAAACTGGGTTCAAACAACCTGGATTTGGGAATCTGGAACATAAAGGGGAAAACTCAAATCAATAGATAAATAGAGTGATACATACTCTTCCCTGCATACGGCGTATGAAAAACAGTTTAATTAATCAGTAAAACATTGAGAGTAAAAACAATATTACATTCCAACACACTAGTCATTTAAAGTTTGAAAAAGGAATGTAACATGTTATTTAATTTAGCATGTAATCTAATCATTAAAAACAGTTCTACTATACATAAGCAACTACTACAGTTTCATTTACATGCACTTTCTATTAGCCACTAAAGTCAAAAATAATCCCTTTTAGTAGAAATTACACACATTTGCTACTAGAGAAAGTGTGATCTAATGCATTCAGATAGAATAAACACAAGAAAAGTGTAGATCAACAGAGGAATCAAGTTCAGATGGGTTACCTGAGCCAGTTTCATCATCATATGGGCAAACACGTGCAGGAAGCCCACCACAGCATCCCACAGGCGACTGTGGGCCAGGGACTGCTGGTTTCCTGTGCAGGGACCCTGAGACAGGAGGACAACTTAAATACATGACAGCCATATAATAAGTGATTGATTTTGGAGAAAAATATATTGTAACATACAAGGGGTTGTGTAAAAGCTACATGTAGAGACCAAAACAAAATGAATATCATATATAAATGGAATATGAATGTCAATGATCAAAGAGAAAAGGTAATATACCTGAATATACTCAGTAAGGCTGTTGAACACCTGCTTGGCCACAGTCATCGCTTTAGAGAAGTTCCTCTTGCCTGGTTCATCTATGATGTCTTTTCCTGAATAATACCAGTAGAAATCACTGATAGACTCCTGGAAAGAGAAAATAAACACCCACAAAGCAGTAAGTGTGCTTACTGAAAGTACTTAACTTTGTCTGAATTAGTCAGTTTTTGAGGGTAAATTGACTTCACCTGTAGTCTAAGCAGGTAATCCACTGTACAGATAATCACATTGATGGTGGTGGTGCTGCCTGTCTGTGTTCTCAGGTAGTTCTGGAAGTCTAAAGTGAAGTAAACTCACAGACGGTTAAACATTAAATCTGTACAACAATGACATTCCCTAAACTCTTGAAACTTGCCTCTTCAAATTCACTTTTTGTGTTTTACAGTAAAAAACAACAGCATATAGTTTTTGAACAATATGATAGTGTTTAAATTCAAGACTCATTTCAAGAAATTAAAACAATTTTTTCGTGTTCACTGCATTTTACTTTACATGCAGAATGATTCAGGACCCACCATTGTTGTGACCCTCACAGAGGAGCTGCACAAAGCGGAAGAGGTCACAAGTGAACTCATCGTCAGCCATGACCTTCTCACCTATGCGAAGGAAGGAAATATGCGGCAACACATCACATATAGATGAACATGTAGTTGTGACACTGATCACAGGTTTAGTGAAGCGGCAATCTGATTAGAACTGAAAAGAAAAAGTAAGTGGAAGAGAGCAATTGATTAAAGAGCTTAGAGAAAAACTACCTCAAATTTCTCATGTTATAATGTTAGTGAAAACTGCAATATTTTCGTCCCTTTCTGTAAGAGATAAGCAGGAAATTTAGTTATTTTTGTTTCATTCCACTGCCCAGTTCAGTATTACGAATGCTAACCAAATTGTTCCACCGAAATCCCAGAGACCACCAGTGAGCATAGGCCGCTCACTATATTCACTTATGTCAGTGAAGCCTTGAGAGGCACCAGAAATGTAGACTAATATTTCATAATAGTACCACTCTTTTTAAAAGCTACAGTAACAATGCGCAAGAAATGATACAAAATGGCAGAATTGAACGATTAACTTCATTGTGAACTAGGGAGTGGAAAGAGACAGCTATTTGCTTAAATCACTAGTTCTTAGACTGTAGTGACTTAGATTGAATCATAGCAGCACAAAATGAAACACATTACAGAATCACTTTACCCAAATAACACATATACATAAACTATACACATACACAATAATGTGCATATATGAACACAGATATAAGAACACTGATATATAATCACATATACTGTAGGGGGATTAATTACAACATGAAGCCCTAACATAGACAATACTTTAGCATGCGGGACAGACCTACTGCAATCCTAAACCTCAGATGTGTTTGGGTAGGTAAGGAGGAGGTCAATAATCAATGCTAAAATCATGAAAATCACATTCATTCAAAGCCTTCAGCATGGAACGATCTGTTTGCAAATAACTTCCAGTGAATCTGTTGCATCGAAAATTCACAATGTTAAACTGCACCGCTAAACTGCTGTGCGCTAACATACAGTTTTTTATAATGGCTGATTACTGGATTAATTGTGACCTCAAGTCAATGTCTCATCTGGGGTAAATATAGAAGGGCATATAGGGTAACATTAGGTGCAAAAATGGTGAAGCTAAGACAGAGTTAGATCATTTATGGTTTAATTCATAACCAATGGCAGGATTTGGTAAGTTATATGTATTTGTTACAAACAAAACATATTCTCAACTTTTAGTGCCATCATATGAAGGTTAGGACCTTTTTCACTGTAAAAAACAAAATGTATTAATGCAAAAACCAACATTACGAATAAAAATGTAAATTTTTTGCCTGTTATTTTTGCCAAAATAACTAAAATGCAGCATATATTTATTTTATAATTTAACTCCTGTTTTTTATAAATTAGACACAATGCAGAGTTCTAGAGTTACAGTAGATCTGTTTCAGCACTCAAGGGGAGAAAGAAAAACACTTCAGTCACATTCTGTGTTGGAGTGTATAACTATACAGTAATTCAGAAATAATGTACTGCGATCTGCATTTGCAATGTGACTGAAAGTTGTTTTTACAAATCCTTGAGTGATGAGATCCATATATATACTTAAAATGTATATATATATATATACAGTGGGGAAAAAAAGTATTTAGTCAGCCACCAATTGTGCAAGTTCTCCCACTTAAAAAGATGAGAGAGGCCTGTAATTTTCATCATAGGTATACCTCAACTATGAGAGACAAAATGAGGGGAAAAAATCCAGAAATCACATTGTAGGATTTTTAAAGAATTTATTTGCAAATTATGGTGGAAAATAAGTATTTGGTCAATAACAAAATTTCATCTCAATACTTTGTTATATACCCTTTGTTGGCAATGACAGACGTCAAACGTTTTCTGTAAGTCTTCACAAGGTTGTCACACACTGTTGCTGGTATTTTGGCCCATTCCTCCATCCAGATCTCCTCTAGAGCAGTAATGTTTTGGGGCTGTCGCTGGGCAACACGGATTTTCAACACCCTCCAAAGATTTTCTATGGGGTTGAGATCGGGAGACTGGCTAGGCCACTCCAGCACCATGAAATGCTTCTTACGAAGCCACTCCTTCATTGCCCGGGCGGTGTGTTTGGGATCATTGTCATGCTGAAAGACCCAGCCACGATTCATCTTCAATGCCCTTGCTGATGGAAGGAGGTTTTCACTCAAAATCTCACGATACATGGCCCCATTCATTCTTTCGTTTACACAGATCAGTCGTCCTGGTCCCTTTGCAGAAAAACAGCCCCAAAGCATGATGTTTCCACCCCCATGCTTCACAGTAGGTATGGTGTTCTTTGGATGCAACTCAGCATTCTTTCTCCTCAAGATGAGTTTTTACCAAAAA